GCCTATGGGTTTCTCAGACTAAAAGGCATCAGGTTGATCTAATAAGAGGTCTTCTCAAAGCAAACAGGGCTTGTCAGATAAATATTGTAGATGTGTTCTTATTGCAAAAAATACCAATGTTAACACTGATATAGGCAAAGCTAAAATCTGTTTTGCTGCATATCATACCTATGCTGGAATCTGACTTGAAATGTGCTGGAACATACATCTCTTAAGCTGTCAGTGCTATAATTAGAGTAACCTGGATATCTAACTATTTGTAAGATAGGTCCAGTGGCGCAAAACATATGACTGGTTGATGTATTGCAAGGGTAGAACAATCAGAGACACTCTAGTGCTTAAGCAAAAAGTATTTAATTCTTTAAAAATATCTGGAAAATCCACAGCAAAACTTATATACAATGTGATATGCAAATCATATGCCATTATTAAACATCCTGTGGAACTGACTGTCAAATGCAAGCTGAGATACAGAAATGCCGGTGCTTGATTTTGGCTGCTAACAAATATAAAAAATGTACAGTAAATCTTCAGGGATGTACATTCACTGCCATGTCTGCCACATCTAGGAGAGACTATCTAGGATTTTCTTAATTCATGTCGCCTTTGTTCAAGGGTTTCTGAATTCTGAGAATCTATCACTTACATTAAAATAAAATTGCTTACATTACCACTTACATTAAATAAAATTGCTCTAGAAACATGCAAAATTCCTTAGAAAGCTTTAAAATTGGGGAAACAAAAAAGATTGGAAGTGGGGCATGAATGCTTGCCCATCCCCATTTTTATTCATCATGTGAGTAAGCTGTTGCCTGGATAGAATTTTATCTCTTCAGTTAATTTCCCATAAATATTCAAAGTTTTAGTACAGATGAATTAATAAGGAAAGTGAAAATGACTCTCCACCCCCCACCTTTTTTTGTATTAATGTTCTGAGACCAGTTCTAGAAAGTACTGCTGTGAAGTATGTAACTATCCAGGAATATGCCAGGAAAAAAAACCCAACAACCCTGTCATACATGAAAACTGTCTATACATAGACTTGCTGAGATCATATGAATGTAACTGGTAAGACAATACATATTTCAGGTGGTTCAATTAGTTTCCATGTCAAATAAAAACACAGAAAAAAATGTGGTAACTCACACTAGGCTTGCCTCCCACAGATAAATGGTAGAAAATATTTCAGATAATGGCTTGTAATTCATTTCATTTTTTTATAGTAATTTTATTGAGTGTTACAATTAAAAAGAAAAGAACTAATACAAACTAAAAAAAGAAAAAAAGAAAAAGAAAAAATAGAAGGTGCAGAAAAGAGAGAAAGAAAAGAAAGATATATAAAGAAATGACTCCCCCCTTCATAACAACAAATATAAACAATTTTAGTAACTTATCACCTTCTCTTAAAATACATCCAATGAACTCTTCTTCCCATGTCTCATCTCTTATCTATAAACAAATCTTTAAAGCACTGTTGTACAGTACTGGTGTCAGCAAAAGTCCATTAAGGGTTCCCAGAGATAACAACATATCTATTTTAGCCTTGATCAAAAAAACCAACTTTATATTCCTTCCTTTTATTGTTAACAATCTTGATCCTTAATGCCCCCAAATGAAGTCCTGGGACTTGATTTCTTCTCATTTTTTCTTTGTCTCTTCTCACAAAATTCTTCACAACTTTAACGGGGAAGAAATGGTGAACTGAAGACAGTTCTGCTGAGAGTAGAACTGATGACTGCAGCAAAATGAAGAGCTGGAATGAAAAGCTGACTCTTTGTGATTCCTCTCCAGACAAGAAGAGGACCGGAATTGCCCACAAGTGCTCCAGGCAGCTGATCTTCATGAGGAGACTGCAAAATAGCAATCTCTGGCAGGTTTAGAGCGCTGGGAAACAAGGGAAACCATTGTAGCCCAAACTATGGTACAGCATCTTTAAAAAGGACACTGGGTTTGCACACTTCCTTTTTTAACCACTTTTGAAAATTGCTTGTTAACTGCTTTTTGGATATTAGGAACCTTCATAACAGCAGGTTTTACTTCACTAGGCAAGTTCCCTTCAATCCTTAGTGAAATAAGTTTTATACAACTTTAAGGACTTAAAAAATTCTTTTTGGTGGGGGTGGAATAAACAGCAAAAAGGTGATTAGAGTGTTGATTCTGGAAAGTTATAAACAGACTAGGTCCAGATGAATTTGAAATAAGATTCTGAAACTATTTATAAGAATCCTGTCCATGGGAAAATGCTGATATTTTGAAGCGTGTGTGTGTGTGTTCCCCATATATATAACAAGGGACTTTGAAGGTTGGACACTAGAGGGAACCAGAAGGAATTAAAGATTACAATTAAAGAAGAAGAGCATTTAAACATGCTAATAGGAATGGAGCAAAATACTTTAACGTTGGACATATTGAAGGATATTTGTGAACAATGGACCCAGAAGTTAATTTTAAAAATGTCTCACATTATAGACAGACTGTGTTTGGAAGATGATATGGAAAAGGAACAACCTTTACCGGATAAGACTGAGTCTGATTTGAAAGTGGATCTAAAAATGACTGTGGGAATGATGTGGAATTAGAACTACACCGGATATACAAATGAAACCAGTTCATGTTTTATCAAACCACAAGAGTGACCTGGATAACTTTCTTATACTGGATTTACAAAAGAGACCAGCTTGTAATTCATTACTGAGGAATACTAAGTCTTTCTACACTGGGTTGCTGTAAAGGACTTTAGGTGTTTCATCAACAAGCTAAAGATGTAGAAGGCATCCACCATGGATTGTTATGGGAGCAGATTTGAAAGATACAGCAAAATGGTCTCCATCATAGCACAAAAAACAGTACTGAACCAATCTCCATTTCTCTCTTGTCATGTGAATGTCCATAGCTGTGTCAGAGAAAGTTGTAGTTTCTGATATAAATCAATAGTCTCCCATATTAACAAGGGGTGTGTGTGCCATATGTTCTGAGAATAATGCGTTTGTAAAAGAAATCAATCCAGAGTTCTCACTCAAGGCACAGATGGCCAGAACCAAATTATCATATTTTATTACGTGAAGACCTAGCTCACTTTAGAAGCCTCTAATGCTGGAAAGATGGAAGGAAAGAGAAGAGGAAGACCAGCAGCAAGGTGGATAGAGTGAATTGCAAGAGCAATGGGGGACCATTGGAAGTCCTGAAGAGCAGTTTGAGGACAGATCATCCTGCTGAAGGTCTGTCTATGCAGTCACTAAGAGTCAACACTGGCTTGATGGCCACAGAGAGCAAAAGAGATGACTTTGACAGAAATATGCAAGAACCATTACCTAGGCAAAGACGGTTGAAACAAAACAAAATGGGAAGCAAAATATTTGGAAGCAGCTCAGATAGACACCTCTCTTGTCACCTGCGAGGAGGGGAAATAAAGCACAATCAGACTTGCAAGGTTTGGTTATTATAGCCTATCTCAATAAAGTCTAGTTTTCCTATGAAGTTGATCTTCTCATCTGATCTTCTTAGTAGGGATGACAATGGCACATAGTCAAAAATTATGTATCTGGAATTTTGTATATCCAGAGTTAATTGGGCAGCAGCCTCATAACTGTATTTTGAATACTAGATAGAAAATATTTGGACAAGATCTTGTGGTATATCTAAGCGCCTTTCTTATAGCAATTTGTAGGAAGTTCCTTCATCGGTTGTACAGTGGTACCTCTACTTACGAATGCCCCTACTTACGAATTTTTCGAGATACAACCAGCTCCGGCCCCAAAAATTTACCTCTACTTACGAACCTGCCTCTACTTATGAACTGGATCCGCGGCCATTTTCCCTGCTGCCACGCGGTCGCGGCTTCCTGTGGGCGGGATCACGGTAGCAAGGAGACGTTCGGTGAGGCTTGTGGTGTGTTTTGTGGCATTTGGAAGGCTTTTGTGGCATTTGGAAGGTTTTTGAGGTTTAAAAATAAAATGCATATGTTTCAGAACTGTTTAGCCGTATTTACATTGAACCTTATGGGGGAAATTTGCCTTGTGGTGCGACCAAATTT